CCTGTTGGCCAACAATCTAGTGCCACGAATCCTCGACGACCTGGTGGCACCAATGCGGAAGTTGTCGCTTAGCGAGGCTGAGATCGTAGTTCTATCCGCCTTAGTGATCCTGGATCCAGGTAGGATTTCAATGATAATCTGCTGGGCAGATGCCAGCCTGATGTGGCATGGTTCTTGCTTCACTTGGATGAAAATTCCTGTTATCCAATCCAGTTGTTTCTACAGATTCGCCTGGCTTATCGGAATCATCATCGCTGGCGCTCAGTCAACTTCGCGATCGTGTGCAGAACGCGTTGTTCCAACTCATTCGAGAGAACTCATCAGTGCTACACAATGTGACGAGCCGTTTCGGCAACATTCTTCTTCTGCTACCACCACTTGCGGTCAGATTCCTTACTAATTATGTACCAATTGTCGTGACTTGTCGTTTGGTGTTGTTTAAAGACTGTGTAATTTTTCGTTACAGAAACTGAGCTCACTCGTCGGAGAGAACGTGCAGTTTGCTCGTATGTTCGGGGGATCGCTCGATCCGCTTCTTGTGGAACTGTTTGCTGACAACACCTCTGAGGTATATTGCTCATGATAAATAGTCACATCAAGCCTTGGAGTACACATTCTACGATAATCATATGGGCGGAGAAATGGGCGATGACTCGAAAACATTGCACCATCCTTACTAGCGGGAACATGCATCTACTACTGCACAGAAGGAGCGCGTAAGTAAGTGAAGTGTAATGGCTGCAAGTCTCCTCTCAACTCTGTTCAAGGGCACGTCGTACGTTGGGGATCCTCAACGAGGAGGGGTCGTATTTTCCTTTGAGACGAATGTGCCTTCAAGTGCGCTATGTAGCCCTACCTCCTCCACGCCCTTTCACGCTCAGGAAAAAAAGTGGGGAATTTTGGGAGTGGGAAAACTCCATAAAGGTGTGAATAGGGAAACCGTGACAATAAGGAAATTCCGTGATCTCCGTTCAGTGAGCCTTCGTTCGCATCGCTTGAACTTTTTCTTTGAATCTTTCGAAAAAAAACGAGAAAAGAAATGCAATTGTACTATTCAAGCGTCTTCAATTTTAGTTGGAGTATTTGAAACTTCTAGATCCAAATTAGAATTTTACTTTTTCAAGGTGATTCCATCCCCTTCAACGAGGGAAAAAGCGGACGTGTCCACCCAAACATATTCGTCCACATCACCGGTCCTGCCGTCTGATATTACTGAAGTACACGAGGAAGTTCCGGCATGCACTGAGCCTACTCGTCCGGCACCTGTTCTACCAACAGGTTGAAACTGTTTAACCTTTGATTTCCGCCTCTTTTTACTTCTTTATTCTTATCCAGCCTTTTGTAGGTTTTTCTTGTAGGTGATAGACGTTTCAGTAATCTCGAACCTTTTAATTCCGCTCGGCTTCCACAGGGTACTCTATAGTCTTGCTCACTGTGGAAGTCGGTTTTCCCTCAATTGTAGTCGCTTGCCAGCTCCCACACTACCTTTTTGGCGAAAAAGTGGCAGGCGCAGCGCCAAGCCCGCCCCCCTCCCCTGACGTGCCTCAGCGCCCGCAGCGAAGAAGGCTGTATGCACATTCTGTTCCGCGTCTACTCCTCCATTTAGCGTTCATGAATGATGTCCTGTAGCCATTTTTGACTTGGTTATGAAATCCCTGATCAAATTCTGCACAGGACATTCAGCCCCTGTACCCAGGGCCGGTGAATTGTTGAGAAATGCGCCTGTTGTGGGGGAGTGACTATCACGTTTGTCCAAAATGACCGAGTCCTACACCAACGGGCCAAATAGCCACCATTTTGCTCTATCGTTGTCTAATGATGAGCGGTAATCGCCGCCGCTCCTGTCTGCATACGTCTCTGTTGCGCACCCGTGCATCAGCAAGGTGGGCGGAGCGTGCACTTAGAAGGGCGGTGCTTAAGCGGAATTTATGGATTTTCAGTTACCTATCTTCTACATCCACAAGATTTTGACCAAGAAAATGATCCAAGTGTCGCGATAGAAAAATGAAATGATGAAATTGCGATTTCAGTCAATCCAACCATGTCGTACAATCCGTTCTACTTTCCTGGACAACAGTTCCAAATGCCGCATGCGGTCAGCTACGCCTCATCGCAACCCTACACACAGTCGACATTCTTCGACTCCACTACAACTCCCACACAGTTTCGATTCATGTAGGTGCTGACGTAGCTGTAACCAGTATTTTTTGAGTGGAAAATTGTGAAAATCTATGAAAAGACTTTTTTTACACCTCGATCGCTTCCGGTAATTAGATGCATAACCGCTCGTTGTCCTTTGCTGTATTATTTTTGAAAGCTGCTTTTTTTCCATTTGGAAACAATGATCTTCTTCTGAGGAAGCGAGTCAGTCGCTGCAGTCTGAAAGTACAATATTCCTTGTCGTTTGGTGACATCGCTTATGACTGAACGGATGTCGGTTGAGAGATCCGCGTTGCGGCAACCACGTTAAATCGATTAGGTCTCGTGCAATGCCGCGTGCGCAACGTCGCTTTGCCGCAACACGGATCTCCTAACCGACGCCCGTAATCCCCGTGAAACTTCATAGTAGCTCCTTCTCTATTGCGACGTCACCATGCGAGAAGGTCGAACTTCGTATCTAGTTTCAGTTTATCGTGCTTCCCTTCCCGTTATCCATTTCTACTTTGATTTTCATATTGATTGATTTTATTGGTTTTTGTTAATAGGCAGTATTCATGTTGATTTGCTTCTTCGAATTCTATTTCTATGTATCCACACACCGATGTTGACGCGCGGGCACCCCACCTTACCTACCCGGTGAAAAGGCAATGGTCCCCGGACCCGCACGCTAACCGACAAGATGTGGTACGTTTCCTCAGTGAAAGCCCCTCTGGTGTAGAGTGGTATCTAACGGGCAAAACCAGGTTTCGTCTACGATTCTATGCCGTGTATTACACCGGTTATTTTATCTCAGTAATATTTGTAATATTTTATTTTTAATGTCCAACTCGCGTGATGGTCCTAATGTAATTTGACTTCTAAAAAAATTCCGCGATAACTGGATGGGCGGAGCGATGGGCGGAGACTGTGTACAATTGGCGCGCCGTTATTATCATTCTGAAGGAGAAGCGCGCTGAATGTTCATGAGTCTCCGCCCGTTGTTCCGCCCTTCCGTCTATCACTGGCGGAGAATGAGACTCGTAGCCATCTGACGCGCCATTTCTCTTAATCGTTCTGAAAGATAAGCGCGCCAAATGTTTGTTAGTCCCCGCCCATTGCTCCGCCCATCCGATTGTCATGGAATGTCCCCTCAAACTCGTCTTCAAAAGTCACAAAATTTTTAAAATCGGATAGGCTTTGCTGTAAGTTCTTGTCAAGCCTAAATGTATCATATAATGAAGTCATGCATCCTGTACCTCATTATTTTTCACTCGATCGCTTTTTTTCACGCATTACAATATAATATTTGTGAGTGGTCGTTGTATTAGCAGAAGTGCGCGGCATTTAGTCCGAAGTCCCTTCCCACCGCTGCTGCTTCCCCCCCCCTTATCTTTTATTTCTCCTTCCCGTTGCTTGTTTCTCTGTGATCCATCCCATATTAATAATAAGCAGTAACTATAGGTGCAACATTACAGTATTGTTAGTTGACCCACGCTTCTGGGACTCCGCCGCGCCGAACCTACTGACCTCCAGATGACGAGAGCACAGCTTAGATGCACTGAGATCGCCGCCTCGTTCTTGTATAAATTTTCATCAGTCCATCCACCGTATCGTTTCCCTAGTCGTCACGGTGGAACAGATTTTACTTTGTAACTTACCACACTGGACATATTCTGGTAGTGTTGTAGTAGTTATGATCACCTCAGATAGTCGTTTCCTCGAACAAATCACCTCATTCATATTTTATTTTTGATTATTTTTTTGGCACTGTTATGCGCTTTTTTTCTTCTTCTTCTTTTTCATCATCTATTTGATCAGCAGTATACGTCGTAGAAGTCATCCCGTTGAGTCATCTGGTCTTTTATATATATATCGATCGCTTCGATTCTATATATTTCTATATTTCGGCTTTTTTCCCCCCGGAAACCTCCTCTCTCCCCTATCTACGGATCTTTATTTCAATTTCTGAACGTGTAGTTTGTACATGTGTTGATCGACAATGGTGGAATAAATCCTGTCGAAGTGATGAACGTTGGAAAACAGTTACATACCTCGAAGATGGATTGGGCGTGGCTGTGTCCTTCATTTGCAGATGGCGCATGGTGCGTTTTTCGCGACGTTTCCATTTAGAACACTGTCATCATATCATGTACGGGGCAAAGTCATGATCGCAATTGTCCTAAAACGGCAAAATCTCGCCTAAGAGCGCACTGTCGTAGCGCATTACGTCCGAATGACATACGCTGCCACGCCCCCTCCATCTCCGGATTTGGATTGCAGATATATATACAATTACGCTAAAATTACCTGCAAATCATATGCATCTTACCAGGCACACTTGCACCTCATACGAAAAATCCTGCCATGGAGCTCACATTGCGCGCAGTAGCTTACACTCCAAATCTGTTGATGGAAAGGGCGTGACTGCGTACTTCATTTGAACATAGCGGCGATTGCGTTATTGGTGGGATCCTGTCATTTGGTTCAGGCCAGCTGTATAATTCAGCGTCCTTGCACAGCACAAGCCGAATGAGAAAATGTCTCAAGTAGAAGTATCCCACGAGAACCGCACCTCACGCCGCGCTTTGAAGTGTGCAGCCACGCCCTCCCCATCACCGGGATATGCAATTCACTGCTGTTTATATGCAGTTCTCATGCAACATACTTACAACATAAATGTAATAGCACGCACCACGGGGTATGCAAATTTGGGAAAACAGTGAGCACGATGGCCGGTAGATGGGCCGTTATTGCGACATCATCGGCTGGTCTACGCTGAGTGCGGGCTTGCGCCGCCACACCCTCCCATAATCTTCCACCATGACGTCTGGTAATCACCGCCCGCCCCCATGTGATCCTGGCCACCCGTCTCGAAGGCCAAAAACCTATGGTTAGCGCTTCACCTTCTCGAGCCGCTGCATATATCGATCGAGTGAAGTGCCACGACAGTCGTTTGGGCGCCATGTAGCGCGCGACGAGGGGCGTGGCTATCTTTTCAATGACTCCTGTAAAGACCAAAGGAGTCGTAAATTACTTAGCCCACAAAATCACTTATTGCGATTTCAGCTGAGCTGTTCCCTTTATTATTCAATGGGTGTGACGCACTCGATAACTGTATACCTACGGGCGCGACACCACGCCCATCAGCGTTTCAACCGCACGATTGTCTTGGTCCTGCATAGCGACCTCTGAGTGTCGTTTGACATATGGATGTGGGAGAAAAGAAGACGCGGAGAGAGTTTCGCAGCTAATAGTGAAGGTAAGCTAAAGAGGGAATTGAAGGAGAGTGGAAGTGCATACAGTAAGGAAACCCCATAAAAAGCGGGGTTCCTGGATATTCTAAAATGGGCTCGGGATGTGGAAGAGCTCCCAGCAAAGCTCTGAAACAAAGCCTGATCGAATCGGCTATTTGTAAAGAGCGGCTACGGAAGGTTCTACTTGAACGCAGACCTTGAATGAACTTCAAACGATTCCCAGAATAGTTCAGTAAATGTGGATGAGACCGCTGATATGGCTTAGTGGTGGCGCTGTGGGTTTTCAACATTGACGTCGAAGGTTTGATTCCCCTTGCACACGAATTTCTCTGTTCCTCTTTTTGAGGTGGCTATCATCGGTCCATTGGTCCGGAAAGGCAAATCAGGTATGCACATGTGTGCTCGTACCCCACGTCATGGCAGTCTTTTGCCAATCAGTGCAATCAATAATCAATGCACTCTCTCTCTCACCTAGAGATTTTCCACGTCAAACTGAGCTGAGATACGATTCAGCTGTGAATGTGCACAATGGGGCAGACGAAGCTTCGCTCCTGCGTAGGAACTGTATGTGAGAGGTCCAGCCAGACCTTCGTAAAGCCAAACGGATGATTTCCAAGATGTTGTCACCCCATTGCTCCACACAGTCCATTAGCCGTTTGTTAGCAGTAGGAGAGTTGTTTGACGATTGGGCGTGGTTGAGCTAACTTACGCGCTCAATCCTCACAGAGAACACCCCTCATCCCCCAAGGACCGTTTGCTCAATGGCGCAGTGGTCCTGGGCCTGTACGCTGCCTCCTGACTTCTTTTTGCCAAACAGTGCAGTAAGTTGTCGGTCCATGTTCTCCCACTCAGAGATTTTTCATGTTTAACTGAGCTGGGATACGATTCAGTTGTGAGTGGGCACGACGGTAAAAGGGTACACTCCATTGGGTAGAACAGGCGCTCAGACGCTTCGAGCCGTCCAGGCCCCAGTGGGTAGAAAATGGATAGTGTGGCAACGGTGTGCTACGCACCGGAGGGGGACGGAAAGACGTACACCCTCGGGATCACGTGAAAGCTGCAGTCCAGATGTGAGCACTGCCGCATCCCTAGGCGCAGAGTGCACTGCTTCGCGATTCCGAACAGTCTCAACAACGTGCATTCGAGGGTATGGCGACGAAATGAAGATCACGTATCTGAATGGGAAGCAAAAGGTGACTCGCAAGGGGAATGGAACCACGGTCGCTTGAACGGAACCATCTGCACATTGCACTGAGCCATTCGCAACTGTAATCGCTCCCAAGGGGGTCTTATTAACATAGCAGCGCATTCCACCGTGCTTGTTGCCACCACTCTGAGGGCTTTATGTGACAGTGTTCAGTGATATTTGTACCAGATTACCAATGTGACATTCAATGATATTTAGATCAATTACCATTAAGGCCGAGTCTACAGAGCGAACCCACTCACGAAAATAAAGGAGCAGCCACTCACATTACAGCCACACAAAAAGGCAGATGCCCTTGGAGTTTCCTCGACTTTGTTTGAAAAATCACACCAAGCTTCCTCGTCGTCGATCAACCGGAGTGTAACGTATCTCTCTCACTGGTTTCGAACTTCTGAAGGCCTTTTTCTACACCGTATGGCAGATGAAGCCAGCGTGAAGAGAACCTATTGGTGCGCCATGTTATGTGAGGAATACGTTGTTTGTGACGCACGCCTTAGAAGGAGGTGTGTGTCCCGATCGCCGACCGATATGAGCAGTCTACGCCAAGCCACTTGCAGATCAGGTACCGCGACACTTGCA